TATGAAAGACAGGCTCTGGTTGCAGATGTCAGTGTCATCTTCATACTTTACAGGCCTTCCCTTAGTGTCTTCTGACTTTCCACTGGTTTGTGGAAACCAGATGAATACCTGTCTTCTCCCAGAGCTAGAGAGAAGTGAGGGCTATGACACTGTAAAATCTGCTTTTCTGAAAACTCTCCCCTCTGGATGAGAAGAGAGTAGTAGTTTGCAATGGAGACTTTTGAGGACAGCCCATCCCTCTATGCCCTGAGGCAGGATGATACGTATCTTGAAGACCAATATCTGAACTTGAAAGATGAGGCAAAGACAAAACTTGTGTATGCCTCTCCTGCACTGTACATCTGTGTTAGTAGGAACCCTAGGGTGGGGGTTATATGGGTCAGGAGCCTGTTTCAGTTGGTCCCTCACACTCAGGACCATCTGAAAAGCAAAGACTTTGTAAGAAAGTATAAACCTGTGTGTGGCAGAGCAAAGTGTCAGTGCAAGGAAGCAGAGGCTTGTGAATACAGTTTGGCTCTTGGGAAGAATGTATGTGGGGGTGGGATTTAGAAGAAACATCCAAAGGGTACATTACCTGGGTCGTGAATACGACTGTTAAGAGGTAATTTTGAGTTTTAGACTTGGAAGATAAAAGGAACTGTGAAAAAAGGGCAAAAGAGATCAATATTGCAGTTATTAATGAAAAGTCATTTGGGGGAAGTAAAAGGCAGATTTTCTGAAGATCAAGCAAAGGCAAACCTCTCAAGACAGAAAACTTAGTGAAAGCAAAAGTAATAGTGAAAGCATCAAAATGGAGATTTTCAGTCTGACTCTAAGAATAAAGATGAATGTATTCTTAACAGCCAATATGGGAAAAGAGTCTGGAAGAGGAAGATCAATATCAAAGCAGTGCAGTTTTTAGCACAGGATCCTGACTACAAAGGAAGAGAAGGGACTCCCCTAATCACAGGAAATTTCTGCTCTTGGGGTCACCCTGTGCATGCTATAGTGACATCTAAAACAGATCATCTTAATACAAACCATCATTTAAAAGTCTGTTCATTCATGTGTGCAACCATTTTCCTTATTTTAACTTTTTTTTTTTTTTTTTTGACATTTTATTGTGGTTTGGGTGAAAGTGTTCAGAGCACATTATTTCCCATTCAACGGTTTATACACATTTTGCTCCTTGGCATTAGTTGCAATCCCCTCAATGTAACAGCACTCTTCTCAATTCCTCCCTAGGTTCCTCATTTCCATTTGTCCTTCTTACCTGCCCCTTCCTGATTTTTGAACTTTGTTTTGGAGCTTATGCTGCCCTTTTGGTCTCATGGTTGATTGTACTGAGGAGTATATTCCTCCCTGGTGTTACTCACTTTATAGGCTTATTGTTTAGATGAAAGTTGTTCTCCAGGATTGGTTCAGTTCTAGGTTTGAAGAATATCTAAGGGCCATAATTTTGAGGATTCCACGTGTCTCTAGCAGACCAGTAAGCTTGGTGATTTTATTATTTTGGGTTTTGTTCTACAGTTTTCTCCTTCTCTATCCAGAATCTTCTATCCTATTGTGATCCCCTTCAGAGCAGTCAGCAGTGATAGCTGGGCACCATCTAGTTCTTCTGGTCTCAGGCTAGTGAAGGCTGTGGTTTGCATGGTCCATTTGTCCTTTGAACTGATTGTTTCCTTTAGTCTTTGATTTTCTTCAATCTTCTTTGCTCCAGCTGGGAAGAAGCCAATAGATGTATTTTAGTTGGCCACTCACAAGCTTTTAAGACCATAATCACTGTGGTAGTTATGTTTCTGTGTCA